GAGAATGACAATGATGATGATGATGCTGATGCTGATGCTGATGCTGATTATGATGATGACGATGGTGATGATGATGATGATGATGATTGCGATGGTGACGATGCTGGTGATGATGATGGTGATGCTGCTGCTAATGACGGTGAGGATACTGCTGCTGATGTTGATGCTGTTGATTCTGATGCTGATGACTATGGTGATCATGGTGTTGTTGTTGTTGTTGTTGTCGTTGTTGTTGTTGTTGTTGTTGGTGTTTTTGTTTTTGTTGTTGTTGTTATTGTTGTTGTTGTTGTTGTTGTTGTTGTTGTTGTTGTTGTTGTTGTTGAACATTATTTATTCTAAAGAATAATTATTGTTGGGCCCCCTGGTGCGCGCCCCCCCTGCGCCGCCTAGGCCGCAGCTACATTTTCATCATTTTCGTGAGGAAGCCTCAGAAAAGAGGGTGTGTACAGGATCCGGTTGTTTTGTTGTAATCCGCTTTCCCTTGCAAAAAACAATAGAAAATGACATTTCTTGTTCTAATATAATCAAATTTCAAGAATCCCTTGCAAAAAATAAGGTAAAGTGGACATTCGCGCGCGCAAGACGAAATCCTTCCAAAAGCGTGCGATTTTAACATAAAAACATCAAAAAACCAATGGTTTTTCAGTCAAAATCTCATCCCGCGCGCTCTTGCGGATTCGTAGGAAACCCAACACTTTTTAAACATTTCTGTCAAACGGGCTTTTGCGAGCAACTTTTTCGAACTTCTGCGACAACGGTTGCGCACCTGCCAGGGCCATCATCCCTGTCAAATAATACCATGCGGGACACATTCGTTTTTTCTTCGCGCGCGCACGCCGTCGTCGTCGGCCGCGGGGCCCTGAATAGTAGCCACGGTCGTCCGCATGCCACGAAGTGAAGTGTCCGAACGTCATAGGGCGGGAAGCTGGGTGTGGGTGGTGGCGAAGAGTCGTTTGGAAATTTGGTAGAGCTTGAACCGGCCCCCCCACAAAGTGGGGGTATTGCCCGCCTCCTATGAAAACCCTGGCACTGGTGAGAACGGAGTGTCCCCAGTCTTAAATGATTGTTGTTGTTGTTGTTGTTGTCTTGTTGTTGTCGGTGGCGAACTCTCACTACTGAATGTTGATCCCTCCTCTGGTGACCATTGCGTATCTTTCAATTGAAGTGCTTACCCCGGGGCCGGCCGGCACCCGGTGTTTTATCACGGAAAATTAGGCTCAAATTTTGCTTTTGGCACCCGGGTTACAGCAACAACAGCTCCCGCTTGAGATTTTCCCACCATTTAACCAGGACCCCCGCTCCCGCCTGAGACTTCCTCGCATTTTACTCAGGAGTCGCGCTCTCGCTTTGGACTTCCTTACAATTTATTCAGGAGTCGCTCTCTCGGCGCTCTGGAGTCGCGCTCTCGCTGGGGATTTGCTTGCAATTTACTCTAGAATCGCGCTCTTGCGTTCGAACTCGCCGCAATTTACTCAACCGCCGCGCTCCCGACACTCAGGCACCAAGGAGTCGCGCTCACGCTTAGGACTCCCTCGCAGCTGATTTAGAGGGCGGGATCTCGCTGCCCTTCGTGACCCCGTTGCAGCCCTTCATGGCCCCCTCGCAGCCATTCGTGGCCCCCTCGCTGCCCTTCGTGGCCCCGTTGCAGCCCTACGTGACCCCCTCGCTGTCCTTCGTGGCCCCGTTGCAGCCCTTCGTAGCCCCCTCGCTGCCCTTCGTGGCCCCGTTGCAGCCCTTCATGGCCCACTCGCTGCCCTTCGTGACCCCGTTGCAGCCCTTCGTGGCCCCCTCGCTGCCCTTCGTGGCATCGCTGCAGCCCTACGTGGCCCCCTCGCTGCCCTTCGTGGCATCGCTGCAGCCCTTCGTGGCCCAGTCGCTGCCCTTCGTGGCCCCGTTGCACCCCGTCGTGGCCCCCTCGCTGCCCTTCGTGGCCCCATATCTGTGTGCCCTTCGTGGCCCCCGCTTGTTCGCGCCCGTCGTGGCCCCATATTCACGCGCTTCTTGGTCCCGCTGTCGCCTTTCTTTGCCCCCTCGCTGCCCTTCGTGGTCCCGTTGCTGCCCTCAGTGGCCCCGTTTTTGCTCTCTGCGGCCTAATCTACGCATGCCCTTCGTGGCGCCCGCTCGTTCACGCCCGTCCGTCTTGGACGCCTTCGGGGGCGCTCTTGGCCCGTTTTTGAGCCCTCTCGGCTCCGAGAAGGTCATGCAACAAGATGTGGGTGAGCCCTGGGGGCACGCGACAAGACCCTTTGACCAATCTTCCGGATTGAGGACGGAGGCTCAGGAGATCAGGCAGAGGACCCGAGGACACACCAACTCGTACCTCAGGGCACGATGGCGGGTCTTTCTCTCTCCTCGCTCCTCCCTTCTCTCCATCCTCATCTTTACGTTGCACGGACTGTGAGCAGACAGTCGCAGCGTCCAGGCGGCAATGATATCAACAGAAACCCACACAAGCGTCTCAGGGGATGTGGCCACAGCGCGGCTGCCAGCACCTCCATCC